CAAGGAGGGAGCAAACAACACGGTGTGAGCTGGAGCCTGTTGGGACAGATCAGGGAGATGGGCCTAAATTGTCCACGGAAACACGTTCTTTTGTTCCTGCCTGACTTASAGATGCTCAGTTGCTAGCTGGACCAGGTCAAAGAAGAGCTCGCTCTGTGAACAAACAAGAACTCTGAGGAAGGGTCGGGCCCACACTAGCTCTAGGTGGACAGGACCTTCACATGGGCTGGGTCTTCCTTTTTTATGGTCACTGCTTTCATCCTTCCCCAATTCCCTGCATTTGGACTTCAGCCAGTCCCAGAGACGCTCAACAGCTCTGCTTCCCAGCGCTGCTGTTTCCACCGCAGGAGGCTGTCGGTGTYTCTTGGCCCCGTTTGAGCACAGCTCGAATGAAGGGAGCTGTCGGTGCTGGTGTTGCTCTGAGGTGTGGATCAGCAATGGTTCATTTTCTTCCCGAAGGAAATAGCACGTTCTTGGGAATACAGAAATTTCCCAACCCTCCTGCTCCACTCCCTGTGGCTCTCCGGGATGCTGGAGCCCATTAGCAACAGTGGTGAGGCTGCCTGGTGCTGGTCTCCCCATGCAGAACTGGACCCATGCCAAAGGGTCAGGTTGCTCTCCAGGGACAGCCATGGTGGTGGTGAACAGACCAAACTGGTGATTTAATGGAGATACAGCCAGAATGTGGGGCAGCCTGGGTTGAGATGGTGGTAATGCGGTTTGGCCCACCCAAAAAGGCAGATGGCCAAGCAGAGGTTTGGACAATTGCTGGTGTTTAGGGCTCCCAGCCAACCTTGTGCTTCCATCCCAGTCTTCCTGCTGACAGGAAAAGGCTCCGGATCAGGCTTTGCTAAATTTGTTCCCCCAGTGTCTGCATCTTTCCACATGCCATTACCGGGCTGTGGCCATGAGCTCTGTCTAGCCTAAAGACTCCAAAACCCATTGCTGGATTGCAACCAGGGTATGCAATTATATGGCAAGGCTCAAACAACAGGCTCAACAACCTTAGACCTACAGTAGATTTGGTATTGGGTTCTTCGCATCTCCCCAGTCCTCCTCACTTACACTGGGAAACTGGAAAAATTGGCAGGGTCAGAACCTTTATTCAATGAAGCTTCTCCTTGGTCTGCGCAGGCAAAAGGGCTGAGGGTGACAGAGGAGATCATTTGCAGTCATGATGTTTAGACAGGACCTACCCATCCTAGCAGCCAAGGCTCAGCTACATGTTTGGGACAGCCAGCTGAACTGTGGTGGGATGCACCAGTTGATGATCAGCTCCTGGAACATCTTGGATGATGATGAGCTCCTGAAACATCCTGGAACAAGCTTCAGAAAAACCTCAATGAAACATTCTGCAAGAGATGAGCAGGTAGCGGCTGAGTACAGCAACACGCAGTGCCCCGCACAGGCCTCCCTGGTGACTATTCCCAGWGGAATTCTCCATTCCTTTCACTCCTTTGCCCTGCAGTTTTGCTTTGAAGTCTTCCCCAAGCTGGATGGAGCAGGGAAATGCAGCGGCATTCCCTTATAGAGTCTGTAGAAGTTTTTCAAAGGGAGTAGAGGTTCATGGAGTTCAGTTTCCAACCAATTTTAATACAAACAGGAGGTCCTGAATACCTTGCTCTAGCCAAGGCATATTCTTAATGAGGCTGCAAGACTCAGGCCCTGTCCTGTCAGGAATCTCTGCTTGGACCAGTTCTTGGGGCAAGAGTTTAGAGAAATCCCTCCAAGAATTCAAGCTTAGCTGTAGCCTTGGGCGAGGGCTTATCCTCAGAGGCTGCGTATGTGACAGGAAACCAAACTGAGCCAAGGCATGGATCTAAACACTGTCCCGTTATCGTCCATACTGTACATTCCTTGGCAAAATTTTGGCCCATGCCAACTAGCACGCCTCAGACAATGTTTGGGCAAGGTCCAGGGCTAGCCCGGAACAGAGACAGGCTGGATGCGGCTGCAGTAACCTGGGATGAAGCAGCAGAGATGGGAGCCACGCCAGGTCCCTCGGCCTCAGGGATGAAAAATAGTCTCTGGCCCATTTATTTACTAGCGCAGACAAATCCAGCACTCTTGCCGATCCATCAAGGATCACTTGTGGATTAACTCTGCTTGGTGACCTCTCTGGAGGCAAATGAGCTCAGGCATCCAGCTACCAGCGGTCCTGGGCGAGCGCCACGTTTGCTTTCCAGCATGGGGAATGCAGCCCTTGCATTTTGCTGTGCTCACCTGAGTGCGTGCTGAGCACCCCCAGCTCTGCAGCTGCTTGCTCGCTGGGTCAGCAAAGGCAGTAACCAGGAAGCTGCTCAGAAACACAATATTATTTGTCTTCAGATGTAGGGATTAGTGGGACTATTCATCTTACAGCAATAAATATTCTTGGCAACTGCCTTTGGACCTGCCAAGTCCATTACCTAAACGGCCTCTTTGTTCTGTCCGTGTTACAATCTCACATCAGTTTTTGAAGTAAGCAATCTGTCACCTTGTGTCACGTGTACCTCTTGGAACAGTTCTCGATTCACAGCTCCATGACATTTTTTTCATGGCTTCTCCAGCACTACTTATATGTTTAAATTGACATTAATTACTCCTTGGTGAGACTTGCGTTTCTTGCAGCCCTGTTTTTCAGGGGTACAAAAATCTTGGGATAGTCCACCTGAAAGAAGTCTCTCATCTGGCTCTACAGGGTCATTCAACTCCTGGGATGCCCATGATGCTGAGAAACCCCAAATCATCTTTCTCTGCTGCAGGTTTGAGTAAAATTGCATCCAGAGGCTGGGAGTAAAATTGCATCCAGTGGTTACTTTGCTATTCATGCTGGGAACACGTGGATATGCTGGGGGASTCAATTATGCCTCTGGTTGCAGAGCTGACGCCCCTCATTGCAAGAAGCCAAGTAGTGTCCAGACTTCATAACTATGCCTGGACTTCACAGTTGTGCCTGTCCTTGGAGGAGACCAGTACTGGAGTCTGTTCTCTGATCCTGATCCTAACCAATATTGCTAGAAAGTCCTTTGCCACCAAAATGGGGTGGCCACATGCCAACTACCTGTAGGGAGTGGTTCCTTGCCTGTGGTAACTCCCATACCACGCTTGGGTCTTTTTTGGCACAGCATCAGCATTGCAGGGCCAGCAACTACTCCAGCTGTTTGAGCATCTAGGGAAATTACAGTCCCGTAGTTCATCTACAGTCTAGGTGAATTACTGTCCCAGACCTGCTTAATCTGCTGGTGTAGATGTAGTCTATGCTGTGAGGAAAGGCCAAGGCATCACGGCACTTCATGTGCGGAGTTTCTAGGCAGAGCACTTAAATGTCTGATGCCTCTTCTCTAGCCGAGGTGAGGAGTGGTGAGACCTTGCATTGCCCGGGTCACCCTGGGTAAGCAATCCATGAGTTATGGCACCCATCACTCATGGGTGTATTTTTCACTCTCACCTGCGTTGGAGTGCTACCAAGTCTGCGGGAGGTAGCTGGATTTAAGCTGGTCCTTCAGGGGACCTCCAGTTTTGTCCCAAGAAACACGTGTCTCCTGGCAGAGCAGCTGGAAATGTAAAGTTCTCCACATTGTTATTGCCCATTTGCAACCCACCTGCCAACCCCAAATGTCCTGAAGCTGYGCTGAGACACATTCTGGGAATGTTAATTCCATACCAACAATACGTATGTACAGTCAAATATATTCCAGCATGATAATAACACATAATAGCTTTTTTTTGTCCCAGCCAAGTGCAACAAGCTCAATGCAAGATCAATACACTCTGGTCATAGCAAACAACCAACCTCACTATGCCCACAGACCGTACAGACATGTACAATGCCTATTCACCTGGGCTGGAGACACTCCAACACAAGGCCTGTGGGTATTGGACGAAGGTGGGGTCACCCAGCTCAAGCTCTTATCTCCTTACTCAAGCTTTCACCTACTCTGAAACGCAGATTGATCTCTGAAGTCACCAGATGGACGCTGCATTACAGCCCAAGGTGTTAAAAATGCATCTAGGAGACTTGGATGGAGGGCACTGTGTTGTTAACTCCATTAGCCAGGTGAGGAGCTCTTGGACCTCATGCCTACACCTTCGTTCCTTGGCAGTTTTTCCCATCCTGAACAGAGCAAAGTGGAGTGGAGAAGGAAGAACGTCACGAAGAAACCCTATGGTCTGAGACTGACATATGGAGCCAACCGGCACGTACGCAGCTGGCCTCTCAATAACCACAAGCACAACATCAAGGTTGACTCCTTTCAGTTGACTCAATCGGTCAAAAAGGAAACTGCACTGCCTGCATCGCAGCCTTCCTYATTGGATGACAGTTTTATGGTGGTAGCTGATTGGCACACATGGCTTAGGCCACGGAAGGACACCTGAGCACACCCCTGATCCCTCCCCATATCCATAGCTGTGCTTTCCTTCCTTCTCCACTTTTCCTCCTTTTTTTTTTTTGCCATCCCCTTCGCTACTGCCCTCCACGGCGCACTTTCTCATCAGGACCAAGTCTGGAGGTGGGTTGCAACAGCCTGTTCTTTCTCGGTAGCTATTGGAAGAGGAATCTTGCTTGGGGTTGGGGGCAAAGGCACTGGGTGAAGCAAGAAGACGCTGCAAACTTCTGCTCTCCCCTCCGAGTGCAGGCGGGCATTGCTTCTCTCTGTGTTTTCATATCACATCCACCTGCTGTTTGCTTAGACCTTAGCAACTCTGAACTGGCTGTTCACAGCGTTTCTCTAGGGAAATGAATGGCAGCTTTTCTCAAAAAGGTTGGGTAACGAGGGAGGAAAGTCTGGGGTCTTTGGATGAGCTGCTGTGCCCTGTGCATGAGTGTTTGTTCTAAGTGTCCTGTGTACGGAGCTCCTGAGGAGGTGACTTGGGAGGTGGCTGGTGGCAAATGTACTTTATCTCTTTCCAGTGTCATTTGAACCCCTGTCTGTGCCTCTCTGCACAGCTCGAGCCATGTCCTTGTGTAGTCAGCGTGCACCTCACTGCCCTCCTTGTGGTGTTTGCAGATTCACTTATGGAGCTGATGGAAGGGAAAAATTCCTGCAAGAAACTCCTCACTCTCATGCTCTTCAGCTTCATACTCAGCTTCTGTCTCTTTGTTTCTTTTCGTCAATATGGGACTCCYGAGCCAGAGCAGAATAGTTCCCAATCCTGTGCACAAATAACCCCCACTGAAAATAACAGCACCTTGGCAAAAAGCAAGCATGGAATAACCATTGTGCTGTGGACCTGGCCCTTTGAGCAGCGCTTTAATTTCAGGAACTGTTCAGAGCTCTACAGCACACCAGACTGCCGCTTCACCGTCAACCGCACATGGTTACACAAGGCAAATGCTGTGATTGTGCACCACAGGGATGTGCTTAGAAATCCAGCGGAACTGAGCAAGGCCACTAGAACCCCTTCCCAGCGCTGGATCTGGTTCAACCTGGAGTCGCCCACTAACTCACCCAACCTGCGYGCCATGGACAACCTCTTCAACCTCACCATGTCCTACCGGAGGGACTCGGATATCTTCAGCCCCTATGGGGAGCTGCAGATCCTTGAGCAACCCCAGCCCTTCAGCATCCCTCCCAAGTCCAAGCTGGTAGCCTGGGTGGTCAGCAACTGGCAGACACATTTGTACCGCGTGAAGTACTACCAGCAGCTGAAGCAGCACATCGCCGTGGACGTTTACGGGCAGCACCATCAGCCCCTGGCCTCAGACCAGCTCCTGTCCACCTTGGCTCAGTACAAGTTCTACTTGGCCTTTGAGAACTCACAGCACGAAGACTATATCACTGAGAAGGTCTGGAGGAACGCCTTGTCTGCTGGCACCGTCCCTGTCGTCCTCGGGCCACCGCGGAACAACTACGAGCGCTTTCTGCCCCCTGATGCCTTCATCCACRTTGACGACTTTGCCAGTGCCCGGGACCTGGCACGGTACCTGCAGGAGCTGAGCGAGGACTCGGAGAGATACAAGCGCTACTTYGAGTGGCGGCAACGGCTGAAGCCTGTGGTCACATCTGGGTGGGCAACGCACGTCTGCCGAGCCTGTCATTTCCTGCAGTCGGAGGCCAGGTACCAGGTGGTGACCGAGCTGTCTAAATGGTTTCTGTAACTGCTGTTTGCTCAGCTCTTGACTGCATTTTGAKCTTGTACTCCTTGGGGTAGGCTGCAATTTCACAGGATGATTGAACTTTGTGAAAATGGAGGGACAATGGGAGCTCTGAAATCAACAAGGACAAGGAAGCAATTAGGTGTTTATCTTACGAGTTAATAGACTACTAGACAGAGTTAGTGCATTGCATTTTTTTTTTCTGTTGTTGATCAAGTTATACAGCCTGGACTTTGCAGAAATTCAGAGCAAAATGCTCTTTCTGTTTTTTTAATCTTCAAACAAATCTGGATTGCTCCATATGTTGGAGAGCAGAAACAAAAGGCTGGGAGGGGTAGTGGACTAAGAATATGTATCATCAGCCTATTTCAAGGACTTTGTACTCTGCAAGGCTGCAGCTGGAAGGGTTGACTGGGCCATGAGGCAACCTACTGCTGCTGGAAGGACCGGTCCCACCCCTTCCTTCTTCCCCTCCCTGCCCCACTTTCACCTCCTCTGACCATTTCAGGGCACTGTGGCATGGTGCTGAACTKCAATAGTGAGACATAATTGGCTCCAGGGAAGTGTGAGAGCAGTCAATGGCAAGAGAACGAGGAGAAAGTCTTGTGTTGGAAACACCTGGCTTGGCCGACTGTGTTGACTTTCCCTCAGCTTCTCCCCCCTTACTGACCCCACAAGTCCTGACTGTATATTAATTGCCCTTTGCAGATCTTTTTTTTTTCCATTTGCCCAGCTGTTCCTTACAGCACTGTAAAGTTTTATTGTGTGCAGCACCCTGCAGCAAGGCATCCTAGCAGCATCTGAACCTCTCGGCTTCTCACTTCAGGGGACGCCTTTTAGGCCTTGCTGTTGCAAAACTATGCCGAAGAACTGGTCTTTATTCTACTTTCTCCTGCCTTCCTATAAATGATCTCTTGTCCAGGTTGAGGAGCCCCATGGCACTGAGGTATTTGCCCCATGCAGCCTTTCCACAGCTCCCATTTGCTTGCGCTGGGAGTTGGGAGCCCATGGAAATCGGGAGGCAGTGGTGCCTTGCTGGGCTCCCTTCCTGCAGCTCTGGATATTCATCTTTTGGGTATTTTTTTTCCACCAGGTACTACAGAACCTTGAGTTGAGTTTTTCATAGATTTACCTTAACTCTGAGCTGTTTCCATGCTGTAAAACAGCTCAAAGTCCAGCAATAAATGGAGATATGCGATTTCTTTCTCTGTCACTATCATTAACAAATATTGGCAATGAACTCCCTCGATGTTTCCCCCCGCAGTCACACAGTAGCAGAAGGCCCCCCTGCAAGACCTTCTTCACAGCTGTGAGTCCCTTCTCATCCACGGTCTCCATTACCGTCTTATTCCCTGCTCTGCATTGCACGCGGCCTGAGTGTGTTGGTCAGCACAAGCCGAGGGCCAGATCCTTCCCCGAGAAGTCCAAATGCTGCTTCCTCCCTTCACTTCACTAGTCATCATCTTCCAGAGGGTGCCCTGTTTCTCAAGGATCCTTGGAGGGACTGTTGGGAATCCAGGTGGTCTGTCGTGGCCCACCTTCCCCAGCCTATTCTCCACTGAGAATCACACTAGCGGGGCACGACTGCTTTTTACTTTTGTAGAATAATTGTCTCCATCCCTCCCTGGGCTTTGCTGGGACCGTGTGCCTTTCATCCCTTAATTATTGCCTTCAATGCACTAGCTAATGATGCTGCTGCGGCCTGAGTGCTCCTGTGCAGAGCAGAAGGACGGTTAAGGCTTTAATCCCTTTCTCTGGCCGTGGGAGTGCTCATAGTGGCTCTGGACAAGATGGCTTGAGCTGCTGCGGGTGTAAATTGGGGTGAAATGATTTTCTGCAGCTCTGTGGACAGTTTCTCTTGGGAAAAGCAACAGCAAAGGTGCTGCAAGGGCGCTGGCACCTGTGGAGGCCACCCCAAGCGGCAGTTTCCCAGTGGCGACATGGAGGGAGTCTTCAGGAATAAGCATTTCTGGAGCGTTACACCGTGGCACCCTGTGTGAGAGAATTGCTTGAGAAAGGGGAAATTAAAGAAAAAAACAGGGCCTAAGAGAAGTTAGGGCATTACAGAGGCTTGCTTGAGGTGAGAGATATTACCACTCCCAGGATGGTTGGTATGTATGGAATCCACTTCTCCATGATTCCCGGGGCAACACAGTCTGCCCTCCTAGCACACACTGATGAGAGTAATGGAAGAGTGGAGCGAAATGGAGACACTGTGGCCAAACTTTGTTGGCTTCCCTGCAGAGGTGGTAGCCTGATGGTGCCGTGCAGCTGAGTGAATGGAGAGTGGAGCAGAATGAAGACATGGCAGACAAACTCTGTTATACTCCCTGTAGAGGTGGCAACCTGGTCTTACCGTGCAGCTTGGTAAGCCACACAGTGTGACAGGCTGCCCAGAGTGGTTGTGGAGTCTCCTTCTCTGGCGGTCTTCAAACCCATCTGATTGCCACCCTGTGCCACATGCTTTAGGTGTCCCTGCTTGAGCAGGAAGGTTGGACTAGATGATCTCTAGAGGTCCCTTCCAACCCTGGACATTCTGTGATTCGATGCCTGGTGCTGAGCCAACAATGGTGGCAGATGAGTCCCTTCCAATGGACTTTGCTCAAACTTCTCCTTATTCTAATCTCATTATAATACCAATACATAACCCCATCCTAGAAGTTACTCACTTCCAAGAAACGACCCCAACTCACTGAGCATGCTCTATATTTTCAGTTAACCTGGGAGATGTTTTAAACCAATCAATAACGAAAGTACGTATGACTAGAGTCACTCAAGCTCCACCTAAACGTAAAAGAAAATATATAAAAGGTGAACTAATGAGGGTAGTAAGTAGAAAAGGAAGAAGGAAAGGGAGGAAGAAGGAAAGGGAGGAAGAAGGAAAGAAGGAAGGAAGGAGGAATGAAGGAAGAGGAGAGAGGAAAGACTCCATCGTAACTTCTGGATCAGTGGACAGGCTGATTTCCTCCCCTCTGGTCGGAACACCACCTGAGGAGACTCCTCGAAGTTGAGAGCCCTCTACCATCTTCTGGGGTGAGTGATGATTGCGCATTTGTACACTAGGCACTAGCTAAGAACCCCACACTGTAGAAGAGAATTTCCTATACTGACATCCAGAACCCGTTCTTTAAATGTTACATTTGAATAAATCGTGCTTTTCTGAACTCAATTTTTTAGGGCGACTGGACCAACAGACAACAGGCTCTTTGTGGACACGATACTGCCAGAGTCAGGCCTATAGCRGATCATACTATTTGGGAACGCGACTACWTGTTTTGAAGGCAATCGGATCTATGGTCGACAGATGATGAAGCTGGTACTGCCAGAGTTGGGGCTRTRGTTACCACAGTATTTGGTGTCCTTCTTAAGAGATGAGTCCAGCCACCTCCAGTCCCTCCAACCTTGGGAAATCAGCTGGAACGCACGGGGGTTCATCTCTTACCTCATTTCCACCCCCCATCAAACTGCAACCCCGCACTGCGGCGTGGCCTAGGATATATAAATATACACAGAATCACAGCATCACAGCATCACAGAATGCTCAAGGTTGGGAGGGACCTCTAGAGATCATCTAGCCCAAACCCCTGCTCCAGCAGGGACACCCAGAGCACGGGGCACAGGGCGGCATCCAGGTGGGTTTGGAGGATCTCCAGAGAAGGAGACTCCCCAGCCTCCCTGGGCAGCCTGTGCCAGGGCTCGGGCACCCTCACAGGAAAGAAGTTCCTCCTCCCATGGAGATGGCGCTGCCTGGGTTTCAACTTACACCCATTGCCCCTTGTCCTGTCACTGGCCACCACTGAGAAGAGCTTGCCCCCTTCYTCCYCAYGTTCCCCCTTCATGAACTTAGACAACTTAGACCCCTCTCAGCCTTCTCTTCTCCAGGCTGAACAGGCCCAGCTCACTCGGTCTCTCCGCACACRGGAGATGTTCCCTTCCCTTCATCACCTTTGTCGCTCTAACACACACGCGGTGAAGGTGTTGGGCAGGGGCAGGGGCAGCGGCTGGGGGCGGGGACGTGCTGGCGGGCGGGACAGCGCTGGAGGCCACAGGCCGGYGCCACGCGGTGGGTCGCACCACTCTCCCACATGGAGCCCGCCCAGGGCACGGCCCCGGCCTGCGGCCACCGCGGCCTCGCGGGGCTGCTCGCCGGCCTCACCGTAGCCTTCTGCCTCCTGGCCTATGCTTGGCGCCTGGGGCCCGGGCTGAGGCCGGCGCCATGCCGTGCCAGGCCGTGGCACAACGGCAGCAGAGCGGTGCCGGGGCAGGCACGGGCCGCACTGCTGGTCATGCTCTGGAACTGGCCCTTTGGGCAGCACTTCAAGCCGCGGAACTGCTCGGTCATCTATGGCATCCCCGACTGCCACTTCACCACCGACCACAGCTGGTACCCGGAGGCCGACGCCGTCATCATGCACCACAAGGATGTCAGTGCCAGGCCCAAGCAGCTGCCCCTGGGCATGCGGGCGCCAGCGCAGCGCTGGATCTGGTTCAACCTGGAGTCGCCCACTAACTCACCCAACCTGCG